ACATGACGTAGGTAGTCGTTCTCAACTGTAGCAAAGGCCACATCTTTGGGTGTGTGGTAAAAGGTGGGTCTGTTGTTGAACACGGCATTGATGCTGCTGGCAATTCTCGCAAGTAGGACTTCTGAAACTACTGCAGATGTAGACAGGTGCGGGTCCCTCCTTCAGTGACTGACGGTAGCTGTTCGAGGCGTTATTGAAACTGTTGGCGTGGTAGACAGGTGTTTATTTCCTCATGCTAGCGATGAAAGGTTACAACTTCAACTCCATAACCTGAAGCGCCTACGGCGACGGCTATGGTTTGGGTTAAAGGTAGCAGGTTTGAAGCCAGCATGCTTTGGAGGAACCTTCCGTGTTGGCCGGCCGCAGCCGTTGCCACTCCCACGCCACGTTGAGGCCACGGATAGGATTTGTGGGAGAAACGGGTCCTCCTTCGCGGCAGTGACGGAGATGGCTGGTAAAGAGCTTTCTTTATGTCAACCTGAGCGGTGAGATCCAACCTTCATCTTCATCGCCAACAGTTTGACTTTTCAATCAGAAGAAACCGGGCGAGTATTTTGCTTCAGGTAGTAGCTTTGGCCTCGACACAGCATCAAAGGTCTGTTTTGACATCCGAGTTCTTCGGAAACACTAGAGAGGTCCAGTTTGAAGGAGAAGTTCACGAAAAATTCTTTACCATCACTTTTGATCACTAGAGACAATGCGCAACGTTTCACACAAGAAGATCCAGTTGTCGAAGAAAAAAATTCACGAAAACCACACTCTATAAACGGTAGGTTGGGCAGATACAAGAGAACGAATGGAATCAAGTGCCTTGGGGGAGAAGGGGTACGCATCAGGTATCGCATTGAAATAATCGGGTTAAAGCGTTCGACTTTGAGGAACAGAGGCAAAACGATTGGAAGAGCAGGATGCAGTAGAAAAGAAAAATGTTGATGCCATAGGTGGAGGAAGCGAAAAGAGTCCCTAGTGAAGGCACTCCGAGAACTAGTGGATTCGTTCTCGTCGCAAACATTTGTCTCCAAGTGAGGTGCACCTGGACAGCTTTCTCCAGAGTCACCTGGCTGTCAGAATCTCTGTGACGCACAGCCGCCAAACGCTGAGGAAGAGTTCAGCGGCAAAGGAACAAACGGCGATGGGCGAACTATAAAACGGGACGGAAAGACGCCGACGGTGCTCATTACAAATTTCACAAGATTGGGGCTGTGAACAAAACTTTCGCATCCCTTTGCCCGGACACCAGTTCACAAGAAAATCTTCGGGAATGTTGTATGATTACAAAGGTTTAATTGAGAGTTGAGTTTGATCTTTTAACAAAAATTCAAAGCAATATATTGCGAAGAATATAAAAATATAATAAATGTAATAAGGCATTATTAACAGCACACTTACACTTAAAGGCAACAGAGAGGAGGTCCCACCCAGTCAACATTCAGAGGGGGAGGGTCGCAAAAATTTAGAAACTGCAAACGTGACTGTTGACCCTGAACCGCGGACGCATGAACAAGTCTACCACAACGTATTTGGCGGCACCATGCTAATCCATGCTCCACTATTGCTGCAGTTGTGCCGCTATTGACAACACAGCTCGTCCAAATCACCAACTAAACCAGTGGGTGGATCTTTCTTAGGATGAAGTGCTTTCGAGTCCGTGCTAAACAGCAAGTGCACCTTTTGACGTGAAAACGCCACATCTTCTTTCCTCTGCAGCAAGTAAATGCTTAGTGTGGTCTTTATCCTAATCACTCCCGTTAAATGTTAATTGTGGGTTGAGTAGACACTTTTGAACTGCACGGCACAGCAGTTTGTCCATGGGAACAAGCGCTACGTCATTAGAGGGTAATTCTGGCCGACGATAATAAAATATTGCACGAAAGCACAAAACCCCCATCCTGCGAAAGTCCTACAAAAGAAATCGAAGAGGAAGTCTGGAGGTTGTGCTTCCCGTGGCGAGCATTATTAGAGCAGACTTAGTGCTTCCGGTTATCGTTCATTCCGGTTAACACAGCACACCTTAGGTGAGAAAAAATACAAGAACCTACCCTGAAATTTTCTTGTCCAACTTCTTCGAGTCACACCTAAAAGTACTCTTCAAAGAAGTCATCCATTTCTTGCACAGGTAAGGAAGAGAATCAACTGTTCAAAATGGAGGACACAATTTAGGTTCACGTACTTTGTTATTGGTTTTGTAGAACTCACTTGTGACCAAAAACGACATTTTTTATCGGCCTATCTAATAGATTGTCACCCTCCCAGGTAAAAACACATCGACTGCACTGGAATCGCAAGATGTTCCAATACAGCTTAAAGTTAAACTTTTCCACATCGAGAAAGTTTCGTCATTGTAAAAGAAACAAGACTTCCTATGTTCTATACGGTAGAAATTGATGCAAGTTACTATAATCCTATCTATTATATAAAGCGCTAACTTTGTGTGTCGGTTTGTATGTATGTCTGTATGTATGTATGTATGTATGTATGTATGTATGTCTGTGTGTCCGTCCGCAAAATGAAGTGAGTGAGAAGGAAGCTCATGGGATAAACAAACCGCTAACAAATCGGGTAGCTTACAGGATTTGAGATATCAATGTTTTGCAATGGCATGATTGTGATAACACCTCAGGGCTATATAAACACCTACTGAGGTCACTTCCAGTTATTTCACATGGTGCTGCGGTGGCAGCTGAAGGTGAGTGGAAGGAGAGGAGAGGGGGGTGAAGTGTTCGAGGAGGGTAGGCGGGAAACCACCCCCAACAGGCCTAGGATGCAATTAGCTTTCGTAAGGTGATTTTAGGCCGTAAAGCGTACGCTGTGAAAGAAGGTCCCGGCGGTTGGCGGGGGACCAACCTGGTAGGTTATACAAGAATGAACATGCACAGCACGAATTAAATGGTTCTCTTAACATTAGATAACTACCGTTAGTAGCATGCATCATTTCACCGTTGCCATCATAGGTGCCTACCAAGATATCCCTGATGGTGGGGAGTAGTGTGCCTGTTACTCTTTAGTTGAAACCTGGCACTATTGCGCCATCTTCGGGCGATACCGTACATGAGCTCAACCAATGCATGTCATTAGCCTATACTGCTGGCTTTTGATCGGAATTTGTGAAGAGTGGCAGTGAGAGTGAGCTCTCGCCACTTCTAAACACTGTCAGGGCACTGGTAACGCTTGACCTCCTAGTGCATAGTCCCAACCGCTGGTGCATCGCTTCTACCCAGCAATTC